TTTTTATTTTAGAAATAAAAGGAGGAAAATACTAAAAGACAACATTTTACAAAATAGCAAAGGATCAGTACAGACATTACAGAGTTACAAACAGAGTAACAGGGAACTAACAATGCTTGCTGTATTACATATTGATATCTTCAAAGTAGTTTCTCATGAAAACAGATATAGGCATACAAAGCTGATCAACCAAGGCCTCATTGACAGTTTCTTTCAGCAAGGAAATCATGCTGGGGATTTAGCTCAGTGGCAAAGCGTCTGCCTGCTCTGATCTTTATAATTTCCTGCGTTTTATAGGCTTTGGACTTGATTTGCTCTTTTTTTTTAGAAGCTGGAGGTGCACCATTAGGTTGTTTATTTGTGCTTGTTCTGTTTTCCTGATGTGAGAATTCACTGCTATAAATTTCCCTCTGAGGACTGCTTTCATTGCATCCCATAGATTCTGGTAGGTTGTATTTGCATTTTCATTTGATTGTAGATATTATTTAATTTCTTCTTTAAATTTGTCTATGACCTATTGGTTGTTTAGGAGGGTGTAATTTATTTCCATGTGTTTATAGAGTTTTTGCAGTTTCCTTTGCCATTAATTTCCAGTTTTATTGAACTATGATCAGATAATATGCATGGCATAAGTTCAGTTCCTTTGCATTTATTTAAGCATGTTCTGTAGGCTAGTATATGGTCTATTTTAGAGAACATCCCATGTGTAGCTGAGAAGAATGTGTATTCTGTTGTTGTTTGGTAGAACACTCTGTAAACGTCTACTAAATCCACTTGTTCACAGGTCTGGTTCAGTTCTGTTATTTCTTTGCTGATTTTTTTTGACTAGTTGATCTATCTCTTCGTGACAGTGGGATATAAGGCCCCTGTTATAATTGTGTTATTGTTCAAGACTGTTAATATTTGTCTTATATAGTTGGCTGCTCCTGTATTTGGTGCATATACATGCATGCTTGTCATCTCTTCTTCTTTAGTTTTTCCCCTGAGAAGTACTTAGTGACCTTTATCTCTTTTGATCATTTTTGGTTTG